AAAAAAAAAAAAAAAAAGAAGCTGAGAGGCGCAGCAGAGGATGTTGCAGCAGGCCGGAGGATGTTGCAACAGGCCGGAGGAATTGCAGCAGGCCATAGGAATTTTAGCAGGCCACGCGAGGAGAAGGAAGGCATGCTGGAGGAGAAATATTGCAGAATTTATAAAGAAGGGGTTGGGGTATATAAATAACTTTCAGCAATATAACCTTTGTTGCTGAAAGTTTACTCTCTATTAGCAATCTATACCATGTTGCTAAAACTCATTTGAATTTGAATTCTTTCACTCATCACCGACATGCATTATGTTGCTAAAATTTAAAATAAAAAAAAACTCCCGCCACACTATCAAATGATTAAATTTTAAATGATTAAAATTTTTAGCAACATAGCTCTTGTTGCTGAAAGTTACTTTTAGCAACAAGAGACATGTTGCTGAAAATGGAGTCCTTATTTGGGGAGAAAAGTGCGGTGGAGGGTTACTGGAAAATATCAACAACATGGGGTATGTTACTTTCAGCAACAAGAGCTATGTTGCTGAAAATGGAGTCCTTATTTGGGGAGAAAAGTGCGGTGGAGGGCTACTGGAAAATATCAACAACATGGGGTATGTTGCTGATATTTATTTTCAGCAACATACCCCTTGTTGCTGAAAGTGGAGCAGCTTTTGGAGGGGAGAAGTGTACTGCATAGCTTTCAGCAACTAAAACCTTATCGGTGATATAATTTTTCAGCAAGAAAGGATTCCATGTTGCTGATATTTGTTGCTAAAAGTCAAAATTTTAGTAGTGATCTTGATGCAAATCATGTGTTGAACCACACATACACAATTTTCACAATGGATAGATACTTTTCTTTTATAATAAATATAAGATATAAAGAGAGTAGGAAATGATGTGTGCTTTGTTGAAGGTAATATTTGGGAAGAGATACATTTCAGCGAGGTCTAACCGTTAAAGGGGACTCCGTTAAAAAAATTAGAAAGATTCACGCTCAATGCATGGGCAAGCGGCTGTCCCTTATTTGCAGGACAATGCACATGCATACACCCATGGATTCTAGCGTAAGGGATGAGGTAAAGGGCAAAAGCCTTTTTCCAGGTAGTTTCTCCTCCCCTGGCTTTGCCAAAGAAAAGACTTTTATATCTTTAATTTAATGCATGTGTGCTGCAAAAATAATGTGTTCATTTGGTTCAAAAGGCAAAAAAAGGGAATACAAAAGGTGGTAAAAAGATTATAATTAACTCTTTTGATTTAGTTTCACTTAATAATTTAATTCTGTGTGTCTAACTAAAAACTACTATCTTTTTCAGGCAATTTTAAAGACACCTTACATATTGATTTGGTGTATTTAAAAAATTTAATTTCTTTGGGTACATAGTTGGCTCCAAAGTTGATCTTAACCGATAAATGTAACTGTGTAAGAAGCTATTTCACATGATTTAAAGAACAGCAATGTAGAGGGTAAATTATAAAGTTTAATTTCAGATCAGCAAGAAAAAGATACAACAATTTAATCTGCCTTTACAATGCATAGTAACTACTGACTACACATACCATGCGGATACAAAACAGCTCTACGCTGCTGCATTTGTCGTCACTTGTTCAAGCTATTCACTGAAGTGTTACCACCATTTTGTCTGACAAAATGTTTAATTTAAACAAATGATTCCGTTCTGGTAAGCAGAACTTAAAACCTGAATTTTAAGCGGCAAATACTCTTCAAAATCGAAATTCTGCTTCCATGTATGCAAGTTGGATTACATTGTTCTTATCTGCCCCTGGTAGAGAAACAAGCATTAAAGCAGCATTAGAAAGACCAGGAACTTACCACAGCATCTACAATCCATAACTGTATATATATTAAACGAAAAATGCTCATGAATAAATGCATCCTAAACATATAGATTTTATACCCTTAATGAAGCTCTACTCATTCCTTATAAACTTATAATTCCTTGACTTCACATAAACTGGCATCATTTTATATTATTTTTAAACAAACAAGGGAAAAGGAGAAAAGGCCTGAAAGTGAAGGTAATGTAAATTTAGATCCTCATCCACAATGGATTAAGATCACAGAATACTTTTACCTATTGAGTATTTGAGGGGAAAAGTGAA